TGGGTTACATCAACGGCTGCCTGCTGATTGGTCATTTGGTGTGAATGTGCTGGCTCTGACCTCTGACCTTTTGGGCAGGCCTCTTCCTGGACTGGCGCTGGCTGGCCATCTGCTGCTCCGTCCCGCCCACGCTGCTGATGGTGCTCATGTGCTTCATGCCGGAGACGCCGCGCTTCCTGCTGTCGCAGGGCAAGCGGCGGGAGGCCGAGGAGGCGCTGCGCTTCCTCCGGGGCCCCGACGCCCCCGTGGAGTGGGAGTGCGCCCGCATCGAGGACGCCTGCGACGGACAGGTGAGCCGGCCGCGCCCTCTGATCCTTTCGATGGCGCCCCTCTGACCTCTCGATGGCGTCCTGATGGCCCTCTGACCTGTTGGCGATGCCCTGATTGTGCCCTCTGACCTTTCAATGGCGCCCTGACCTGTCGGCGGCGTCCTGATGGCGCCCTCTGACCAGCCGTGGGTGCCCTGATTGCGCCCTGACCTGTTGACCCTGCCCTGATGGCGCCCTGACCTGTTGGCGGTGCCCTCTTACCTGTCAGCGGTGGCCTGACCTGTTGGTGGTGCCCTGACCTTTCGATGGCGCCTTCTGACCTGTCAGTGGTGTCCTGATGGTGCCCTGACCTTTCGATGGCGCTCTGAACTGTCAGTGGTGCTCTGACCTTTCAATGGCGCTTTGACCTGTTGGCGGTGCCTTGCTTGCGCCCTCTGACCTGTCGATGGCGCCCCTCTTACCTGTTGGTGGCGCCCTGACATTTCGATGGCGCCCTCTGACACGCCATCGGTGCCATTATGGTGCCCTGTGAGCTGTCGGCGGCACCCTGATGGCGCCCTGACCTTTCGATGGCGCCTTCTCACCTGTCAGTAGCGCCCTGATGGCGCCCTCTGACCCGGCGCCGCCCCTCTCTGCCCACAGGGCTCCAGCCTCCAGCTGTCGGACCTCCGGGACGCCGGCGTGTGGAAGCCGCTGCTGGTGGGCGTGATGCTGATGCTGTTCCAGCAGCTGACCGGCATCAACGCCATCATGTTCTACGCCGAGGACATTTTCCAGCAGGCGCACTTCAAGGTACGGCGCCGGCTCAGGCTCCGCCCCCAAAACCAGAGGCCCCCTCTGAGAGGAAACCACAACCGAACCCTTAAACTGATGGAAAAAAGACGACAAATCCACAAAGAGACAGAAATCTTTCACTCAGGAAAACCAAAAGATGCAGAATGAGCACAAAAGAAGCAAAAACAACCAAGTTTCAGCCTTTATTAAAGCGGAATAAAAGCTTTAATCTTTTAATAATGATAATAATAATCCTGCAGAACCTCCACAGAGTTTAACTGGTTCCAGGAGCAACTTCTATGTTAGATATTGGTGTGTTGGTTCAAATCTTCCATCAGAATCCACTGTAATTCCTAGAATTGGTTCCAAAAACCTACGATAACTCCTTAATAAATACTGCAGATAATTACACATGGCAAGAAAACAAATTACTTCTAGAAGAGAGATGGAAAAATAAATAAATGATAAAGAAATAACCAATAAAAAGAGTTGAATATTGCACATTTTAAACAAAAAATATTGCAGATTGTGTCTTTAAAAAAAATTAATAATGCACATTATAGGGTAAAAGATTGTGAATATTGCACATTTTAAGATGGAAAATTTCAAATATGACACGTTGTAGGGTATAAAAAAACAGTAGATTTTGCTCGTTTTAGTGTAAAAAAGTTGTAAATAATGCACATCATGGGGTAAAAAACTGTAAATATTGCACATTTTATTGTAAAAACTGTAAATGTGTGGAACTTTGAGGCCTGACTGAGCGCTTTGGCCTGCAGGAGAGCGACTTGGCTTCGGTGATTGTCGGCCTGATTCAGGTCGTCTTCACGGCCATAGCGGCGCTCATCATGGACAAGGCCGGCCGGAAGGTCCTCCTCATCATCTCAGGTAAAAATTGAAATAAATCTCAAATTTGTTTTCTTCCTCCAGGTTCGTTCAAAATTTAAAAACGAATATTCTGGAGTTGCACATATTTTCCCAATGACAAAGGTTAATTGATCTTACTGGGGGTGTGTTTGTGTGTGATCGATAATCAATTATTATGATTGATGATCAGCTTGTCTCCACCAAATCGGAGTGTATCTGGGAGTTTTTATTTTTTTTTTTTATTTCTCTCCTTCCTATTAACTCTGACCCGAGAGAAAAGGATAAAAACCTTTTAAAATCTGAAGTCTTTGTTTGTTTTTAACGAAATTTTGAGGAAATTATCAAGAACTGGAATGTTATCAAATTTCTTCAATATTTTCAGCCATTTAATTTTTTTTTTTTACTTTAAAATATATATTTACTATAAATATTCAGTATTTCAGGTTATTTTCAGGTTATTTTTTGACCACATGAGGCTGCAGCAGGTCTCAGAGATCCACGTTAACGGGTTAAAACGGATCAAAGTTGTCCTGTTTGTCTTTGATTGGAGGTGTCGCCATGACGATTAGCACGGCGGCGTTCGGCATCTACTTCTACCTGATGTCCAAAGCCAGCGGCTCCTCGGTGTCGGACCTCCAGAGCCGGGCGGCGGCGGACGCCCACCCCGAGCTGGCCTGGCTGGCCCTGGCCAGCATGGCCGTGTTCATCTCAGGTGAGCTCCAGGTCCCGCCGCCCCCTGGTGGACAGGTCTGGAAAGGGGGGTCCTCTAAAACTAGCCCTGTAATACCAAATGTATCATATTTGATACACACGGTTTCTGAAATGTTTTGTGTCGGACACCTTTTGCATGATTTAATAGTAAAAACTTTGCCAATAATCCTATTGTATACATTCAGATATACCTGATAACGGGGGGCAGAAGACTACTCAAAAAATAATCTTGACTTATCGCATAGTAATAAATTATTAATATCAAAAATGTATTTCTGTTTTTTCTTTTTTACATATTTTGTTAAAAGGCCAAATAAGGAATTCAAACCAAAAAAAGTGATTTTCTGTTTAGTTTTATTCTTTGATCAGGCTTTAAAGGGTTAGAGGTTCAGAGTCCTGTGTGTGAACACACAAAAAGAGCTACAAATAAACAAAATACACTAATTTTATTAATTTTTTTAAATAAAAGATTTTACAAAATAAAAGATTATTCACACTCGGAGGATAAATACAATGGAAACAATTCATTATTTCTTGGGCGACCCGGTGCCAGTTGCTTGTTGGTCCTTGCCTGGGGGGGATGTGGTCCTTTCCTGGGGGGCTGGTCTCTGAGCGCTGTCCTGTCTCCGTGCACAGGCTTTGCCATCGGTTGGGGCCCCGTCCCCTGGCTCATCATGTCCGAGGTGTTCCCGGTGAAGGTGCGGGGCTTCGCCAGCGCCGTGGTGGTGCTCACCAACTGGAGCATGGCCTTCGTCGTCACCAAGACCTTCCAGGACATGATGGTGAGCAGCCTCAATAGAGAAACGCCACTTCCTGGTTTTCTGCCTGTTCTGAGGGGGCGGAGCCTCCCTGCAGGGACGCCTAGTGGCCAAACCTGGAACTGCAGCATTAAAGCTGCTCAGTTTTCTTTCTGCTGCTTTCCTCCAAATTTAGTACAGCAGAACCTCTACTTACGATTGTCTAAACATACGAATTATCCAACATCCAAAGTGAAATTCAATCAGATATTCAAATATTTGAGTATGACGTCAAAGTCATAAAGAAACGTATATAAAAATTATAAAAAATAAATGAGCTACGTTAGTTTAAAGTTTAGGTATTGAAAGTCAGAGTAAGTTAGGGTAGGTCCTGTATCTCAGTATCTACCTGCCACTAAAAAAAACCTTTTGATTCATTATTTCTTTCTCATTTATTTCGATTACATCTCTCTTTTATAAGTCATTTGTTTTATTGCTATGTGTAATTATCTGCAGTATTTATTAAGGAGTTATCGTAGGCTTTTGGAACCAATTATTGAAATTGGTTAATGAGTTAGGGGCCAGTTAAGTGGCTGAACAGCAGAAACTTTGTTTTCGGGAGATGCTGTGGTGTTTCCCTCTATTTGATTCATCGGTAAGCTGGACTTCTAATGAACCGAATTCCAGGTTTGTAGCGATTTCATCCATCTCTCTGTGACTTCCCCAGAACGTGTTGACCAGCGCGGGGACTTTCTGGCTCTTCTCCTCCGTCTGCCTCCTCAACGTGGTCTTCACCATGGTCTTCATCCCCGAGACCAAAGGCAAGACCCTGGAGCAGATCGAGGCCATTTTCAGAGGCACGTCGGGTCCCTGAGGCCGCCCCCACCAACCCAAGGACCTGGTTTTTCCAAATGACCGCTCCCCTGGGGGGCGCTGGGCCTTTAGAGGACGCCCTCTGACCCCTCCCGGCTGATCTTAAACACATCAGGGGTTTGTTTATGCGCAGGGCGGTTTAAGCTAACGGGGAACGGCAGGAGGTCCTTCAGAGCCTGACTGGAGCCAAAAGGCCGTTTGCTCCACTGTCCGCTCTTCACGCAGCACTAAATCAGGACTTTTCACTCATTTTTGGACTTTTTGAAACGTCTTCCATGTTGTTGAATCAGGTGGGGGGGGCGGGGGGGTTCTGGCAGGTCTCACAGCGACACACTCACTGGGTTTTGAGCCATTGGTTCTCTGATTCTGGAGACAAATTAATGGGGTTTTTAAACCAAAATATCTGTTCTCACTGTTGATTCGTGGAGGAAATTGGTATTTAATTGCATGAATAATGTGGATCAAAATCTGCGGGTTGTTGGGAATATGGGTGAGTTTTTGTAATGTTTTGGGATAATTTTCTATCGGTGCACTTCTGAAGATCAACTGATTCTTCTTCTTTGGTTTATTAGCATGTTTTTAGCCTGGTTGTGTGTGTGGGATAAGGAACAGCTCCAGGTGTTACTCAGTCATTCCCCTCCACAGGTTTTACTCTTCAGCTGCATCCGTCAAACCTCTGAAAACCAGAATGACAGCGAATCTTTTTGTGAAATGTTTGTGCCAATAAAGTTTTTTTTAAATTGTTTTTTTTTTTAACATCTTGATCTATGTTATCATCTAAAACGGGCTGATTTTTTTTCCCCAGCCTTTGTCTGCAAATCAACAGTTTGAACACCAAAATCTTTTTATCTCAGACAGAAATGAGGGAAGTTACTGTGATGGAAAATATCAGACCTTTAATCCTTAGAATAACTTGTTAATTTCACATAAACATTCATGTATTGAGTCTATAATGGCTCCCAGATTCCCAGGTTAGGAGAGTGAGTTTTTCAATCCGTCTTTATTTTCTACAAAGACAATTTTCTCTCGTTTACCTTTAAAATGTACAAAATCTGAAAGATGGCTGCAAATGAAAGTTGTGTATTTTTTCCTCAAATAAAACCAAAAAAGTTTGAAACCATTTATTTCCATTGAAAGACATCATAAACTTGTAGACTTTTTTGTCTAGACATTTGGCCAACAATTAAATCCTTTTATATTTGAACGTTCGTCTCGATAATGAAACATGACCTGATAACATTTATATCTGGAGCTATTTTCAGGTCAGTTAATGGTGAGTAATGGCTGACGGTGTAACGGAGCACCTTTTTCTGGCCTTTTTGTCTCGTTAGTACTCCCATTTTTTTGCTAGACAGATATTTGTATAGGAAATATTTCTCCCGTTTATTTAAAAGCATAATAATATATCTTTGTTTTGGTGTTAAGTTCTAGCACAACGAAAGCTGCTCCGGTTGGATTTAGTGTATTCTTAGATGTTCCTGTATGAATTTATACATAATTGTGCACATACTGCACTGTATTTGAATTTAAATTAATTCCATATCTTCTTTTCTCCTCCATTACAGTGAAGTCGGTTTTACTGATGAAGGTACTGCTTGACCTGTATTCACAGTCACAGATTCAAGGTCCAACCAAAACATGTTTTCCTCACTTCTCCCAGAAAAGCTAAGTTACACCTTGTGTTGCATGATCATGGTCATGACCTTGTAAATTTGCCCAGTAGTTCAGTTTGAGTTGTTTCCTCCAATGTTAAAGGGCATTTCTGCCATTACTACCACTAATGATGCAGATGGTTGCTTTTAATCACGCCTGTGCAATGTCTCAATGTCTGGTATTAAATGCAATCAACGGTTGCAGTTAAACTATTGTAAAAATTATTTTATTACATTTATACTTTTGCTGTCTTTTAAATTTCTGAGTTTGCTTACTCAAGCTTGTGTGATTTTTCAAATTTAAGGAACTTCCGGTTAATTCGAACGCTGAGTCTATATTCTTATTTATCTTTTTCCACTTGTGTTGCCTTAGGTATCATAAAATGATTACTATATCTAATATGAATATGTTATAATGAATATCTTAGATAATGATTTAACAATATTAAGAAAGTTTCAGAGCAGTATGTTTCATCTGAAAGCGACGCCGGTGGCACTTCCGGTCCACCGCCAAAAAGTAACGGAAACAGTTCCCGAAATGCCCGGTGTCACCTTGTTTGTCGTCCGGCTTTGGCTGCACGCTGTTGCCCACCGTTCGGCGCGGAGACTCGGGGATGCTGCCTGCCTCAGAGATGGAGTTGGATCACAAAAACAGCAAACTGTCGGAGAGAGTTTAAGACAAAGGGAGGGGGTTTGGCGGTGGTTCTCCGAGTGAGCCTACCGCCCGATGGGTTTTAGTCGAAAATAAGGCTGGAAGTTATCGGAATAAACTCGGGGTGAAGATGAAGCTGTTGAAGCCGAGCTGGGTGAGCCACAACGGTAAGCTTGTGCTGGAATCTGTTGGAGCAAGTTGGGCTTTTGTTGTCGGAGGGGGGCGACTTATTTAGGATGCGCGAAGGTGGTGATGGTGGCCGACACTTGTTTGACTTGTTTGGCACTTAAAAGTCCCCCGGAGGACGGGAGAAGACCCGCTAGTTGGGCTGCCGGCTCGGCGTCCCGTCGTTTATTTAGTTGACATCACTCCTGTATTTCAAATGTATTTTGCACTTGCTAGCGCGGCTAGCTCGTTAGCCCCCCCGGCTAGCTCGGATGCCCCGACGGTGGCCGGCCGGGCGACCCGGGTCCGGCTCGCTTTCTCGGAGTGACATCCCGGGAAATATTTCTGACTTTCTCGGCGGCGTTTTAGCCCAAAAGCTCGTCGTCTGGAAGCGGAGATGAGAATGAAAATAAAATAAAGCGAGCAAAGTGCGTTCGGCTGGAAGCTGCGAGCTGTCAGTTAGGAAAGTTAACCGTCGAGGAAACGGCCTGAATTCCCGATAACGGCCAACATTTGCGGCGGTTTGAGCTCCCCTGCGGAATTACACAACTCCGCCAGCTAATCGCTCCATTTACGGCCAAAACGCCGAGCTTAGGACGGATATTAGCTCGTTTTATGCGGGAAATCCTCCTCTAACTTGTTGTTAATGAGGCTGGAGGGGCGAAAACGTGCTGTGACGTGCGACCAAATCCACCATTTAAAAGAAACATTTGCGAAGTTTAGCAGATGGGAACCAGCACCCAGCAGAAAGCTCCTTATTTACAGCCATTTATTGTCAGTTTTAGCCTTTTTTCCTCCTTAAACAGACTGAGCTGGTCTCCAGACAGCTGAGATTCATCATAATGTTGACTCTCTGTCATGTTTGATGCTGTCTGAGTAGTTTTATCTGTAATCTCACTAATAAATAACATGAAAATGAGCAGCTTGAAGCCTCTGAAACGTTAATAATGTAGAAAACTGTGTTTCCAGAAACCCAGTTCTCTGCTTTGGTGTTGAATTCTGACACACTGCTTCCATTAAAGGCGTCTTCAGATTATTCTGATGTCCACTAACAGGTGTCTGTGAGTTTAAAAAGAATCCACATCCACATCTTTTCTTTCCTTAAAAGGAAAATATGCTACGGATTTGAAACTTGTTCAACAGAAATCTTCCCCTGATTGACGCCCTGGAGAAATATGTGCAGAAACGTGGGGTTAAAAACATATCTGCTCGCTTCTTAGTTTGTTTGCACCAGTTTATTCTAGATGTTCTCTAAAATGTTTTGGGAAACTCATTGAAACAGTTTGAGGTGCAAATATTTCCTTTAAATAGTCTTAGATGGGCTGAATTCTTCAATTTGATATTTAAGTTAGCTGCTTAAGGTGCAGAAATTATGTTAAAATCCAGAAAAAAAAATCCTCATATTTGAATTAGTTCAAGGCAAATGCTCTGAGACCTGGTTTCATAGATAGATAGATAGATAGATAGATAGATAGATAGATGTACTTTATTTATCCCAAACTGGTTTTATTGATGGTTTTTAGGGTGTTTGCTTGCGGTAAAATATTTGCTTGAAATAGTCTAAGATGAGCCGCATTGGTCCACCTGATATTTGACTTTGCTGCTTCCTGTGCAGAAAATCTGTTAAAATCCAGAAAAAAGCCTCATATTTGAATAAGTTGAAGGCAAATGCAGTAAGACCTGGTTTTGTTGATGGTTTTTAGGGTATTTTGTGGTCACCTATTCTTGTTCATTTACCTCAATTAGTTCAAACAGCACAAAAAGGCTCAGATGTGCAAAAAATGGGATTTTTTTTAGCTCCCAAAACATTTTGAGGGGCAAATATTTGCTTTAAATAGTCTTAGAGGGGCTAGATTCTTAAATTCGATATTTAAGTTTGCTGCTTCCTGTGCAGAAAAAAATCCTCATATTTGAATAAGTTGAAGGCAAATCTTGTAATGTTTTTAAAAAAATCTTTTTTAGGGTGTTTTGTGGTCACCGATGCTCGTTCTTTTACCTCCAGTAGTACAAAATGGCTCAGATGTGCAAAAAAAAAGGATTTTTAGAGATAGGCAGAGTCTCAAAGCCCCGACCTGCAGCCTGTCGGTTTTCTCTTTTCAGGCAAACCCATTTTTTCAGTGGACATCCACCCGGATGGGACCAAGTTTGCGACGGGGGGTCAAGGTAAGACCGTCCTGATATCAGAATTAGATTAAGGTTTATTGCCAAGTAGGTTTTTCACTTACAAGGAATTTGCCTCGGTGAAAGGACATACAATGTAGAAATAAAAATATAGAACAGAAATGATAAAACTAAAAAGTACAATCTTTAAAAATATAGATCTGAACGTACAAATGAACTATTGAAATGTGCAATGTTGAATGTCCAACAACAGACCAGAAAATGCTGACAGTAGCATTGTGTATATTAGTGAGGTAGAGGGGGGGGGAGAAGAATAGGTGGGGGTCACTGGCCTCGTTGTTGAGGCCAGTTGCTGCTGGATAGAAACTGTCTTTATGGCGTGAGGTTTTGGTCCTGATGGTCCTCAACCTTCTGCCAGAGGGGAGGGTTTCAAAAAGTTTGTGACCAGGGTTTGAAGCATGGGTCGTGGTGCCCCCCCCCCCGTCCACCTGAGCTGATGGCCCTCTGTTTTAAGGGGAGGACTCGGGGAAGGTGATGATCTGGAACATGGCCCCCGTCCTCAAAGAGGAGGACGAGAAGAACGAGAGTGTTCCAAAAATGCTCTGCCAGATGGACAATCACCTAGGTAAATACAAATGCTGTTTTTTTTAGCCACAATGTTCGATTAATTCTGTTTTTAAACCAGTAACTTTCCATAAATTCATTATTTTAACCACAAACTTTTCATAAATTCTGTTATTTAACCATTCATTTCCATAAATACTGTCTTTTAACCACAAACTTTTCAGTAATTCTGTTTTTTGTCCACAAACTTCTCATGAATTCTGTTTTTAAACCACAAACATTCCATAATTTCAGTTTTTCAACCACTAATTTACATAAATTAGGTTTTTTAACCACAAACTTTTCATAAATCAGAATCAGCTTTTTTTGCCAAGTATGTGTGACCATACAAGGAATTTGACTCCGGATGTTTCTCACTTCAGTGGAGTTACATACAAAATACAAAAATCGGTTATTAGTATTTACAAAAAAGAACAAGATATATGTACAGCACATGATTGGACAAATTCTTTTTTTTAACCACAAACGTTCCTTAAATTCAGTTTTTTAACCACAAACTGTCCACAAATTTTGTTTTTTTTTACCATAAACTTTCCATAACTTTAGTTTTTACCATAAATAGTCGTGGTCTGGGTCCTTAATGAGCCTCTCTCTCCTCAGCCTGTGTGAACTGTGTGCGCTGGTCCAATAACGGCTTGTATCTGGCGTCTGGAGGAGATGACAAGCTGGTGATGGTGTGGAAGAGAGCTGCGTGAGTACCCACCCACTTCTGCCTCCGGAGGGGAACCCGCTGCCCCCCGGAGGCAGCAGGCCCCCGGGTCACTCGGCCGGTTTCAGCCGGCCCGGTTCCGGCTCACCCTGTGTGTGTGTGTGTGTGTGTGTGTGTGTGTCCTCCAGGCTGATCGGGCCCAGCACCGTGTTCGGGTCCAGCAGCAAGCTGGCCAACGTGGAGCAGTGGCGGTGCGTCACCATCCTGAGGAACCACACCGGAGGTAGGGCGGTCCCGGGCCCGGTGGGCCACCACCGCCTGGGCCCGGCAGGCCGCTGACCGCTCCTCTGTCTGTGTGTGCAGACGTGATGGACGTGGCCTGGTCGCCGCACGACGTGTGGCTGGCGTCCTGCAGCGTGGACAACACCATCGTCATCTGGAACGCCCGCAAGTTCCCAGGTAGGAGAACCAGAACCAGAACCAGAGTAGGCCCAAACGGGACCCTTTAATCTTCCAGATTCTGCAGAAGTTGAGTCCTGACTGTGTTCCTTCCTGTTTGGGGAAATAAAATAAAGTAGGAAAACACTCAAATAAAGCAGTAAATCACTTTTAAAAAAAGTAGGAAAACAATAAAATAAAGTAGGAAAGCACTAAAATAGAGCAGGAAAACACTCAAAGCAGAAAAACATCAAAATAAAGCAGAAAAATAATTAAATAAGGTTAAAAAAAAAACGATCAAATAAAGCAGGAAAATACTCAAATTAAACAGCAAAACAACCAAATAAACGCTGCCCTGAGTTTGGTCTGGCAGGCTGAGTGTCTGTGGAGGGTGCTGACCCGGGCTCTGCCCTGAGTTTGGTCTGGCAGGCTGAGTGTCTGTGGAGGGTGCTGACCCGGGCTCTGCCCTGAGTGTGGTCTGGCAGGCTGAGTTTGTGGGGGGGCTGACCTGGGCTCTGCCCCCAGAGATGGTGACCTGCCTGCGGGGCCACACGGGGCTGGTGAAGGGTCTGACCTGGGACCCGGTGGGGAAGTACATCGCCTCCCAGGCCGACGACCACAGCCTGAAGGTGTGGAGGACGGTGGACTGGCAGATGGAGGCCAACATCACCAAGCCCTTCAGCGAGGTACTGCCACCACCGGTCTCCCATTTATTACCACGAATTTTCACTAATTTTCTGTTTTTACCACAAACTTTCCATAAATTATGTTTTTAGCCCCAAACTTTGTGCAAATTCTGGATTTTTTTACCACAAAATTTCCATACATTCTGTTTTTTAACCATCAATTTTCATAAAAAAAAATTTTTTTTAACAATGAAATTTCAGCTTTTTTTTAACCACAAAGTTTTATAAATTCTGTTTTTAACACAAACTTTCCATAATTTTATTTTTTTAATTAACCACATTTTTTAAGATAAATTCTGTTTATTCCACTCCCTTTCCATAAATTCATTTTTTAAATGATGAATTTGCATAAAATCCTTTTTTTTTACCACAAAAATATCCATAAATTCTGTTTTTTAACCACAAACTTCATAATTTCAGTTTTTATTACCACTTATTTTTCCTCAGACATTTTTATAAATTCTGTTTTTTAACTACAAATTTGTATGAATTATTCTTCTAACCCCCAACTTTCCATAAATTCTGTCCCCCCCCCCCCAGTGCGGGGGCACCACCCACGTCCTGCGCCTGTCCTGGTCCCCTGACGGCCAGTACCTGGTGTCGGCCCACGCCATGAACAACTCGGGCCCCACCGCCCAGATCGTGGAGAGGGACGGCTGGAAGACCAACATGGACTTTGTGGGCCACCGTAAAGCCGTCACCGTGGTGGTAAGAGGCCCCAGAGAGGTTCCAGGGAGGCCCCGGAGAGAGACAGAATAGATACAATTTCAATATATAAAAATTTGATACATGCATTTTAATCTTAATGAATTGACCAAAAGACTTAAAAAGATAGCTGAATGTTAATACATCTAAATTATTACTATTAATATCAATATTATTAATGAAGATATAATGACAGAAACACTAGACACACTTGACCCGTTTCCTCTCTGACCATTTGACCGTTTGACCGTTTCCTCTCTGCAGACATTCAACCCAAAGATCTTCAAGAAGAAGCAGAAGAACGGCAGCGCCCCCAAGCCGGGCTGCCCCTACTGCTGCTGCGCCGTGGGCAGCAAGGACCGCTCGCTGTCCGTCTGGGTCAGTACCCCCCCTGGCCCGGTCCGCTCCGCTGGCCTCAGCCGGGTCTGACCAGCTCTCCCTCTCTCCCCTCCAGCTCACCTCGCTGAAGCGCCCTCTGGTGGTCATCCACGACCTGTTTGACAAGTCCATCATGGACATTTCCTGGTGAGTCTGTGTCGGGGGCTCTGGTCCAGCAGGAGGCCCGGCTGGTTCTGCTGGTTCTGACGGGCTCTGTGTGCAGGACGCTGACCGGGCTGGGCATGCTGGTCTGCTCCATGGACGGCACCGTGGCCTACCTGGACTTCTCCCAGGACGAGCTGGGAGACCCGCTGAACGAGGAGGAGAAGGTGAGGCCCGCCTCTGGTTCTGGCTCAGAGAGCAGAGCGGGCAGCCGCCCATAGAGGGGCGTCAGGCCGACCTCTGACCTCTGACCTCATCAGAGGGAGACGCAAACTGGGGCCAGAAACTCGGCAGAAACTGTGAGGGGCTGACCTGCTAATTTCAGCTGAATTCTGCAGATAAATTCCACTGATTCTGTTAGTTTTTTTTAAAACTACAAACTTTCCATAACTTTCTTTTTTAATGACAAAATTTCCACAAATTTAGCTTTTTTTTAACCACAAACTTTCCTTCTTTTATGATAAACTTTCCACAAATTCATTATTTTTTTAAACCACAAACTTTCCATAATACATTTTTTTAATGATAAACTTTCCACAAATTTTGTTGTTTAACCACAAACTTATCATAAATTCTTCCTTTAACCATAAACTTTCTACAAATTCAGTTTTAATTATACATTGTCCACAAATGTAGCTTTTTTTGACCACAAACTTTCCTTTTTTTAAGGTAAATTTTCCACAAATTCAGTCTTAACTGTTTTTTTAAACCATAAACTTCCGGATCTCTTTCTCTAAACGAGGCTTTAATGGGATGAATGAACCCAGAATTCTCCGATTCTCCCTGTGTGTGTGTGTGTGTGTGTATATTGATATTTACACACACTCACACACCCTCTTGTGTCCCTGCGAGCAGAACACCATCCATCAGAACATCTACGGGAAGAGCCTGGCCATCACCACGGAGGTCCAGCTGTCCACCACCATCATCGAGAACCCGGAGATGCTGAAGTACCAGCAGGAGCGGCAGACCTCGGCCCAGGCCGGCGCCGGGGCGGCCAGCGCCGGGCCCGAGGCCGCCGCGCCAAAGGTCAACAGCGTGATGAACGGGGAGTCTCTGGAGGACATCAGGAAGGTGAGCCCAGGGGGCGGAGCCTCCCACCCCCCTCCCCCAGCAGGAGCCCCCGTTAACGCCCGCCTCCTGTTCCAGAACCTCCTGAAGAAGCAGGTGGAGACCAGGACGGCGGACGGGCGCCGCCGCATCACGCCGCTCTGCATCGCTCAGCTGGACACGGGGTGAGAAAGTCCTGATGCCGGGGGGGTTGAAGCCTCCGGGGGGGCTCCACAGGCCAGCCCAGGTGCATCCTGGGTAACATGTAACATGGCTGGAGCAGTACCACTTTAAGTGTCTGAGTCGGGGCAGAACCAAGATCTGTAAATGAGGAGTTACAGAAGGGCCAAAACTAGCTCGGAGAGTCCAGTTCAGGCAGCTGGAGGGGAAGTTTCCTACAAGACGTTTGGCCTCTGATCCAGAAGTTTCTTCAGCTCTAACTGATGGTGGAGCTCTGAGTTAATATACAGTAGACCCTCATGGCCACCTTTTCTTTTTCCCCTAATTCTTTGTACCAGCTATAGTATATTAATCTGACTACATTTTTATTAATTGTTTTGCTGCTTTTTCCACGTATTTTTGGTTGTTTTACTGCTTTTTTAAACTGATTTCTTATTGTTTTGCTGCTTCTTTCACTTATTTTTCTTTGCTTTACTGCTTTTTAAACTTATTTTTGGTCGTTTTCCTGCTTTTTTAAAACTTATTTTTCATTGTTTTGCTGCGTCTTTCACTTATTTTTGGTCCTTTAGCTGCTAACCACCATTAACTCCCCCAGATGACTTCCATGGCCCCCAGCAGGAGGGGCCAGAGCCACCTTTGGTTTACCCCTAATTCTTTAGTTCCACCTACGATATATTAACCTCAGAGCTCCACCATCAGTTAGAGCTGAAGAAGCTTGTGGATCAGAGGCCAAACGTCTAACAGAAAACCTCCAGCTGCCTGGAATGGACTCTTCAAGCTGGACCAGGTCATGGATGACTGAGCATTCCACAGATATGAGACAAAACCTAGTTTTGAAACCCCAAACATTGATTGATTGATTGAGTGAAGCCAGAAAGTTGCATGACAGCACCTTCCCACACTGCATGCCGTGGGAATGTGGAGGCTGCTGGCCGTCAGGGGGAGGGAACTCCTCCGCTTCCTGCTGGCCGGGCCCAAACGGACCCGGTTCCGCCGTCAGTAACCAGAGTAGTTCTTCCCTTTTCAGTCCTGACTGTCCGTCTCTCCTCTCAGGGACTTCTCGCCGGCCCTGTTCAACAGCGTCCCCATCCTGCCCTCGGGCTCCTCCATGTCCAACCAGCTGGCCCCCCAGCTGGGCTCCGACTCCAGCCCGGCGCCGGCCTCCGGCCTGGGGCTGCGGCCCAGCCAGGACGCCCTGCTGGCCTCGGCGCCGCCCGGCGGCGTCAAGCTGGAGGACAACGCCGACGGGTGAGACGACCGGCCGCGGCGGGCGGGGGGGCCGCGTCCTCAGACCTGGTCCCCCCTGACCCTCGTCCTCTCTTTCAGGGTGAAGCCCAGTCTGCTGCTCACCTCTGCCTCCAAGATCGAGCCAATGAAGGCCCTGGACTCCAGGTTCACCGAGAGGTCAAAGGCCACGCCGGGGGTCACGGCCGCCATCTCCTCCACCGCTGGACTGGCCCCCCTGGACAGGTGACCCCCCCCATTCTGAAGCCCTAAACTAGGGGAAAAACACAAAGCGGAGATGGTAACTTTCCCCTCGCGTTCAGGCCGAAGGACGCTGTCTCCGCCACCAAAGACGCCAAAACCAAAGAGGACACCAGCAGCGACAGCGAGGACAAGATGGCCACCATCAACAAGAACCTGGCCTTCGGCAAGAGGAAGTCGGAGCTGCTGATGGACGCCGCCGAGGTGGTGGAGAAGAGGAAGAAGGGCCGGCCCAGGAAAGACAAGATGGCCACAGCCATGCCGCAGGCCTTCCCCCCAGGTGGGGGAAAAAAAGGTGGAGCCTCAGTCCTGCCGGCGTCCGGCTCCAGGTAACCGTTTGCTCCTCGTCCTCTCAGATGGCCCCTCCGGCCGAGCGGGAGCCCGGCAGGGCGGCGGCCCCTCCCGCCGCTCCGGCCGTCCTCAGACTACCAACCCCGAGCACGCAGAAGGCCTTCAGCCTGCAGGTGAGCCCCGCCCCCGTCTACAGCCCCGCCCACAGGGAGGGGCTGCTCTGTTAGCCCAAAAAAGAGGCAGTTTAAAGGAGCTCTGTATGCAAACGGGCTCTACTGAGGAGGGACAGGCAGCTTTCAAGCAAGCTAAAGTTTTTGGCTTTAGCTAAATGTATTTATTCTAACGTTTAGCTTTTAAAGCGTTTAGCACTAGCTTCCCTTTAATTGCTTGTCAAAAGCTTTAGCTAAATTGATTTATTTTAGCGTTTAGCTTTTAAAGTGTTTAGCATTAGCTTTTCTCTGATTGCTTGTAAAAAGCTTTAGCTTTTAGCTTTAGCTAAATGTATTTATTTTAGCTAACAGGGCTTTTTTTTTTTGATAACCCTAACTCTAAAGCTAGTGTGCAATTAGAGGGAATTCTTACTTCTGTTCAAAGAAATCTAAAAGTATCATGTTATGGCTGCAAATCAGGATGAAGGCAGTGATTGTAAACAGTTCCAGATATTTAAAAGAAAATGATTAAATTGGAACTTAAGCGAATAAATCAGCCCGAGCACACACAAAGTAAATGAGGACTCCTTCGTGATTGGCTGGTGAGTCACGTGACTGCTGTTGCCTGTGGGCTGTGGGGGGGTCAGAGTTTGAAGCCGTGCCGCTGTGTGCAGGTGAGCATGGAGCCGTCGGTGTTCCTGGAGGTGGAGAACGAGGTGTCTGTGGTGGCGGGTTCCAAGCTCAGCCAGCTGCGCTGCTCCAGGGACGGCCGCGACTGGAGCACGCTGCTGCCCAGCCCCGTGGTCACCGCCGCGGGAAGCAGGTGGGAGGGGCTTAGGCCGCCCGCTCGCCATCAGAACTCAGGCCCTCCTCAGTGGGGCCCGGAGTCTGGTGATGTCATCAGAGTGCGACTCAAACCCAACAATGACAAAGACTCCCTCTGCTCGCCCCCAGCGAGGTCCTGGCCGTGGCCTGTGAGGACCGGATGCTGTCGGTCTTCTCCTCCTGCGGGCGCCGGCTGCTGCCGGCCATCCAGCTGGCCACGCCCGTGTCGGCCCTGCACTGCTCCGCCCACTTCGTCATGGTGCTGACGGCCGGCGCCGCCCTCTCCGTCTGGTCAGTGCTGCCGCCGGCCGGCAGGAAGCTTCGGCCCGGTTCCGGGTGCTGACGACTGTGTCTGTTTGCAGGGATGTTCACAAACAGAGAGCCCTGGTGAAGAACGAGTCCCTGCTGACCATCTTACCTGGTGAGCTGCTCCACAACACTCCAGAAACCACAGGAAACCTTTAAGGG